TCTTCTCGCTCTTTCTCATCTCCTCCTCATCCCCCATCCTCATCTTCTCTTCCTTCCCTCTTCTTCCTCCTTCTCTTCCCTTTCTTTCCATCTTCCCACTTCCCACTTCCCACTTCCCATCTCTATAACCCCTTCCCCTTCGCCACTACCTACTTCACACTTACTACATCCATCTCCCTACTTCGCCTCCCAATCATCCATCTACCTATCGTCCAGTCTCGTCAATCCAAATCACTCAACCACCAAATCCAACCATTGCAGTCAATATCCTCGTGCCTATCAACGTACAGTTCTATCCTCGTTGATCTCGTCAATAAACCAAGGCACGCCTGCCTATCGTCCGGTGCCACGGTCTCGTTGCTGGCCCGTTCGAACACCCTTCGTGACTCACCAACCTTAAGACTCCACCCAAAAGCAAGACGACAACCCATCAACGGTCTCCCTGCAGACCCGCCCCAGTCTCGCTCCTGCCGTCCAGCTCCTGCTACGTTTCAACTCTCTCCTCCCAACAGCCGCTGAACTCCCTTCCTTGGGTGTGATCCTATCGTCCCGCTCCATCGCCTGCTGAGTTGTCCCTCCTCGTGAAACAAGTTCCGGGCTGGGTTGCTGGTATTGAGGTTTCTTCTGCCAACGCCCGTCAGGGTTTGAAGACGCCGGGTACCAGTTGTCCAGTGCCTCGGCTATATATCAGGGAACCCCTGCCTTTGACTTTCAACTCAACTCTCCGACAACTGATGACTTGATCGTCCTTGGAGTCACGAACCCCCCCCCGTCCTTCAACCTGGTGTTCGAAGGCCGCTTTCCTTGACCTCTTGTCTATACTGTTTGGCATCTTCTTCTTCACGATATTACGCAGCGTCTCCTCTTTTTGGCCTTCCTTACTTCTATCTTGCGTCCGTTCGGTGCCCTCGCATTGAACCCCCCACCTTCTTTACTCCTCTCTTTTGGTCTGCCGCTTTTGGCTCCTGCCATCCATCTTGCTATACTATCAAAAAAAACCCACGACAGATGAACCCATAACGATCTTTTGACTACAAACCTCTTTTCTTTTTCTATCGTCATCCCGCGACTTCGCCTCTCATCCTTTTTCTTTTGTGATCACTTATCACTTCTGCTATTTATATGAAACTTTGAGCCACCAAACAACTGTTTTCCTTGTCTTCCTTCGATTCTTCTCGCCTCTTTACTTCCTCTCTTCTTTTTCTCTTCTTGGTCGTCGCCTCCCACAGTCCTTGTAGGACTCGCCAGCTTCGTTCAATCTATATACGCATAACTTAATATCGGGAACCAACCTCTCGACAGTATGGACGCTTCGAACAACTCCTTCGTGCCCGGCGAGCTCCTCAACGGCCGCTTTCGCACCCTCGCTCCGTTGAACCATGGCTCGTTCGGTATCGTCTTCCTGGCCACCGATATCCAGTCCGGTCAGGACGTCGCCATCAAGCGCCTCGCCAAGGCTTCCGCGGCCGACCCGGTCTCCCCGGCCGGCCCGGACTATCGCCTGGTCGAGCTGGACTGCCACCGCCGTCTTGCCCACCATCCCAACTTGGTCAATATGGTTCACTCCTTCGAGACTGACGAGCACCTGTACCTGGTGCTGGAGTACTGCGCCAACGGTGACCTCTACGAGGCCATCCGTCTCAACCGCGGCCCCCTCGAGACCGAGCACGTGCGGGACTTCATGCTGCAGCTCATCGGGGCCGTCGAGTTCATGCACGCCAATGCGCTCTACCATCGCGACATCAAGCCGGAGAACATCTTCCTGATGCAGGACGGCTCCATGAAGCTCGGCGACTTTGGTCTGGCCACCGGAGATGCCTGGTCCCACGAGGCCTGCGTCGGCAGTGACCGCTACATGGCTCCCGAGCAGTACGACCCCGCCGCGACCGGCTACGCCCCCGCCCAGGCCGACGTCTGGGCTGTCGGCGTCTGCTTGCTCAACGTGCTGTTCGCCCGCAACCCCTTCGCCACGCCCACCGAGTCCGACGTCCTGTTCGCCGACTACGTCCGCGATCGCCAGTCGCTCTTCGACATCTTCACCAACATGTCCCAGGACACCTTCGAGGTCCTGCGCCATGCCCTGGCCCTCGACCCGAGCAAGCGATCCCTCGCCGGCATGCGGGACGCCGTCCTCCGCGCCGTCTCCTTCACCACCGACGACGAGGCCCTGGACGAGTTCTGTACCGACGAACGCGAGGTGGTCCCCGCCACCGCCAACCGCGAGCCGCTCCGCACCCCGTCCCTCCAGAGCCCCTTTGTTAACCAGGGCGACTCCTTCCCCTGGGCCAAGGCTTTGCAGACCAGCCCCCCGCCGTCGGATCTGGCCCGCCCGCTGTCCGTCATCCCCGACGACGCCTACTCGGAGGATCTCTTCCCGCCCTCGGAGACGGCCGGCACCTCGTGGTTCTCCAACCGCCAGGCGACCCCCTCGATGGCCTCGGTGCTCGAGTCCGCCCTCGGCGAGTCCGCCCCCGCGGCGCGTCCCGTCGAGTCGCGCTTCCCGCCGCCTTCGGATCCCGTCCCCATCACCGGGTCCCTGCCCGCCCACAAGCCGCTACCGTCTCTGTCTATGGTCTTTGGCCGGCGCCAACAGGACCAGATCTCCAAGAGCTGGAGCGATCTCTGGGACGAGGAGGAAGAGGAGGAGGAGGCGCTGTCCGAGCACGAGGATTCGGCCCTGCAGCAGCGCCGCGCCCAGAACGCCCGCAGCTGGAGCCAGGAGAGCGGCAGTGCCGACGGGTCGGCGTTGCCTTCTAGCGCCCGCCCCGTCCAGCCCGTGACCGCCGCCGCCGCCGCCGCTACCACGGTTTCGGCCCGCCCCGACACCCCTCCGGCCCTGGCGGACCCTCCCGTCGAGAAGTCGTCGCCCGCCGCGCCCGGCGTGTCCTCGGTCACCTTCCACGTGGCCCCGCGCACGCCGCCGCGGTCCCCCAAGACCTCACCGCTGGACAAGTGGGCGGCATTGGGTGACAAGCGCCGGAACTACAAGCCGTCCGCGCCGCCCGCCGCCAACCCCATGGCCTGGCGACGGGACTGGGGTCTCGGTTCCTCGGGCTTCGACTACGGCACCTGGACTAAGAAGGATCACCACCTGCCATCCCCAGGCCGTCACCGCCCCTTCCTGGCGAAGGGCTGGCGTCGCGATTCCCCGGAGGCCTTGCAACCCGTGGCCGACCCGTGGACCTCCCCCACCTACGCCGGCAGCGTCGACGAGGATCTCGATCTCGTTGGGGGCTGGCACGACCTTCATCTGTAACGGGATCGACCATTTTTTTCTTTCTTTTCCCGCCACTTTTTCGATCCGCCTGTGACTTCTTAACCTCGTGGCACCCCTCCCCCCCCGGAAGCGACTCGAACGATCATTTGCAAATACCTGGTTCAAACTTTTTCTTTATATCTCCACTCGATCATTCTGCACAGAAACTCCGGCTCTCCACAGCTTTTGTTTTTCTTTTCTTTTTATCCCTCTTAAAACCATTGAAACCCTGATGATAGAACTTTTTTTATTGGCATTTCAGATGCACGAGCATGTTCATGCTGCATGCATCCTTTCTTTCTTTTTCTGTATAATAACACCACCATTTGCAAGGAGCGACAGGGGGTTGCGGCAGTGTTCAAAAGTGACGCATGGACGGATGACTGGCGGGGACGGTTCTGTTTGGCGAGCGGGTTGGACGCTGTGGTGTTTCTGTGAGGGTATTTTTGATTGATCGCATCGGTCGTCTTCCAATTACGATCTTTTCGAACGGGAATTGGACGTCGACGCAGAGACCCCCGGGCCATCCCGGGGGGGTTTTACCAGATATATGAAAAGCACAAACGAAAAAAAAGTGTACGGGAAAAGCGACCGGTCTCTCTTTTGACATGATACATTCTGTACTGTATGTAGGATGTTGGCGGATGACGGTAGTCGTGGTATTCGATATTAATGGATACTATTATCGTGACTCGATTTGCAATCTTTCGTAACCCATCGATCGGTATTTTGTCTTGGTCGTATGAGCCCACTGATTTGATCCTACCGACCTTGATTGACTTCCTATGTAGAATCCGGATATCGATTAATAGTATATACATATGGATCATATTTTACTTGAGACTCTAGTATAGTATAGTATCTGATATAGTGTTTGGATTGAAAGAAAGAGGATAGTACAGTACAGTCTAGTCCGGAGTCCAGGCCAGATCTATCTAGTCTATCCTGGTTAGGTAGTTAGTATGTATGTCAGGCACCAAGGGACTTACTCTCTAGGAAGAAGCTTGGACGTACAGTAATATAATCTTCATCTGGATAATACTGGTGACTCCACTGTTCTTTGTCGAATGTCAGACCATGGCCACATTGACAGTAATTAACTATATCTCCTGTTACTGGCGACCTACCCAGGTAGGTAACACTGTTGAATTGATTGTCTGATTCACCGTCTCAACATGACAGGAGATAGATATCGGGAGATGTCGGGTTGAAATCGGACAGTTTCTCCCTGATCAGTTAGCTGTACAGACTAGGTAGGTACCTTACAGAGTAACAGTGATCAAAGATCTAGGCAGACAGATCCATCGTCATCGTCATAACGTCCCCACCTGTATAGTGTATTGACTGATTAATTACCTCTGGTATCGACCATCATGGTCGAGACCCATTACATCATTGTTTAGTTTACGTAGGTACCTGATGTTGGCGCTGACACTGACGCTGGCGCAGCAGTGCGTTACCCGCTCGGAACTCGGAACGGAAAACTGGACTGGGATTTCCATAATTAGTTCCTGCAGTGGAAGCTGGAGACAAGAGACGGACGTTCCTGACCCACTTTTTGTATGTATGTATTGTATGTTGATTGGGGGGTCGATCTATTAATAGTATGCACTTGATATCTGGCCAGTACTGTGATTTGTTCTGTATGTATGTATGTATGTATGTATATGTATGTTGGATGGGGGGGTGAGTTGGGAATTAGGGATTGAGGATATAGGATGTAGGTAGAAATCATAGAATTGAAGCCATGTTGGAGATGAGAGATGAAAGAGAAGATCGTAGTCAGGTGACGAACCGTCTCCAACAGATCTCGTCTGTCGTTGTCCACACAACACACCTTGAATAGTAGCACACTCAAATTGCATCCCAATCCAACAACATGAAGTTCACCCACAACTACCACCGCCACCAAATCCCAGAATGGACGTCCTCCTACGTGCCCTATGCAGCCCTGTCACGACAGCTGAAACACATTGTCTGTGAGGCTGAGTTGATGGGAAGAGAGCCGTTTTTCGATGGTTAGATTGGATTGCATTGCATGTGTTTTGTTGAGGACTGTTTCTTACCTGTGTTTTATTTAGAAATCTATGGGTCTCTTGCTGGGAGTGTTGAGTCTTTCAACAAATGTTATGAAGGAAGGTATCAGTTTTTGTGTGCTAGGCGCGCGGAGATTCTCAAAGCGTATGGCTTGGAGTCTGAAGGGAATGTCCTGTCGAAGATAGGAGACGCGAATTGCGCTGAGCTGGGGAATCTGCTCAACGCGGTGGTGGAGTTGCGCGGAGATTCAGACAAGCTGCAGTGGTATTACCGCGTGAACGCTGAAGCGATTGATCTGATACACGCGAAGATCGAGAGACACTGCGTTCACCCGATGGTGAAAACCCATCGATCTCGCAAGTCAAGGTGGATGGACATGACTGCTGACTGGGAGACGCGGTCTACACAGTTCGGCGAGAGTCTCAGCATGTTGACAGCGGGTATTGCGCGATCTTGTGCGAATGCAAAGCTTCACCCGGGGGAGGGATCGTCGTGTTTGGATTGCGTGGGTGGGCGGCACACATGGTTGGATGACTACCGCGCTTCTCTGGTGTCTTTTATCAGGGAGGATAATAAGTCGTGGGAGCTGGCTCCAATGCTAGAAAAGATGTCGGTGGATGACGCCATCATGGGGCTGCATTTCCGTGCCCTGGTTTATGATCTAGCGCTGCTTGCTATCGTCTCTGGGGCGCGTGATTCGGCGGCCTTTCTGCTGGAGAAGGCGTTCACTAGGTATGGTGCTGCGGTTGATCACAACGTCTTGAACCAGATCATCGCTGTCGTGGGTCGGAGGGGTGTGCTGAATGGGCAGTCGAGCTTGAAGCTGCTGACCTGTTCCCTGGGTGATGACACTGGAGGTCAGGATGGAATGGGGGAGAGTTTATTCCTCCGTGCGGTTGAGCGTCTCGGTCCCGATGGGGAAGATATTCTCTTGTCAACGGACATCTTAGGTCGCCGTCCTCTTCATTATGGCGCGATGTATGGATTGCAGACCGTGTGCCAGCGGATTCTGCGCTATTTTGAGGAACGGGGGTTGCTACGCCTTGCAAGACAGATCCTGACGGTGGACTCTCAAGGACAGACGCCTTTGCATTACGCTGTTATCAACAATCATGCGGGCGTTACACGGATCTTCCTAGATGTACTCGACGGAGTTGAAGACAGTGAAACCCAAAACCAGACAGCCATCTCGAACGAAGTCTTCTCCATCGCCGTCAAGTACCAGCACGATGAGATCGTGTACATGCTGGCAAAGTGCCGCGCGGTATCTCACCCGTCTCACGGAGAAACAGAAACAGCCCTCTACATCGCAGCCCAAAGCGGCCGTGCTGATTACGTGGAGGCCCTGCTAAACCACAACAAGGACATCGATCTCAATATCAACACACCCGAGCCTATCCACGGCTGGACCCCGCTGTTCATCGCCTGCGTGGAGGGCCACCACGCCGTGGTCAGGCTGCTTTTGCGCGCAGGTGCGAAACAAGACATACGTGATCAGCTCGGGTGGACTGCGAAGGAGCATGCTGCGCTGAGGGGCCATCTGGAGATAGCCGATATGGTGGATGCGGGGAACACTGACGATCTTGATATTTCCGGTGGCCCTTCCAGCGTACTACCCAAGACTGCACCCACGGAGAAAGCCATCTTTCGAAAAAACCGCAGCTACGTAATCGTCAATCTTGGTGCTCTGCAATATGGTCAACGGGGGGAAGCGCTGGAATTGAGAGATTCCAGCCACAGTCTACCGATGCCAAAGAGCGTGTATGCGCATAATGGCCTCTCGATGGAAATCTCCATCGGCGACGGACGCGACACCAACAGTCACCGTGTACAACTGCCCCTGCTAAGAGACATGCTCAACGAGCCGTTCGTCTTCCCAGTCGTGGACCCCACCGAGGCTGTTATATCGTTTAAGCTGTTTCGTGCGGGACACAGGCTGGTGGGTAGTGGTGCAGCACTGTTGAAAAGCCTCAACGATGGTCTTGGAGAGGGCCGTGAGAGTCTTGTTCGCACGCGTACTATAGCTATTCTTGAACGGGAGAAGTTGGGTGTTATGGGGACTGTGACGTTTACTTTTGTGGTTGCTGGGCCGGTGGATTGTGCGGTTTCGAGATCTTTGCAGAGTCGTGATGTGAGAGGTGGAGGGGTACAGCTCGTTGGGCATAGAGGTGGGATTGAGCCTCCTCTTGTGTTTGGTGGTGCAGGTTACTGACATATGCAAGGACTCGGGCAAAATACGGCCAGCCGCACGTATCTCCAAATGGGGGAGAACACGATCGAGGTGATTTCAACTATATCCGACCTACCAGCGTCCAGGAAGGGAACGATTTGAACATTGGCAGAACTAACACAATGCAGTCATTTCTCTCAGCTGCAAAGCAAGGCGCTGCCTTTGTGGAAGTAAGAACCTTAAATCTCTTGATATAACCCATGCGACTGACTGACATGTTTCTAGTTTGGTAAGCCGACTCACGCAAGACTTGTTTCAGTGCTAAGTATATGATATTATAACCAGACGTGCAATTAACCAGAGACCTTGTGCCTATCATCTACCACGACTTCTCGCTGAGTGAATCGGGAACGGACGTCGCTATCCATGATTTGAGTTTTGATCAAGTCAGTACCTGTCTTCTCCAGGAGATGTAAAAGGTTATTCTAACTGTCCCAGTTTGCATACGCGAGCAAGCTCCAATCTACAATCAACCAGCCGATATGCATGCCGACCAAACCCCGTTCACGGTCATTGACAAAAGCCCATGAACGCGAGCTCGAGGGAACCCGCCAGAGAATGATGCACACTATTGATTTCACCAGCAAAGGGTTCAAGCCAAACACTAGAGGTGACTTCATCCAGGATTCGTTCGCCACGCTGGATGAATTGCTTGTGCAATTGCCTCAGTCGATTAGCTTCAATGTCGAGATAAGTATGTTCGACCCTCCTCCTTCACCTTTTTCAAGATGAGATCGAGAAAGGTAGGCTAGGTTAGTTAACAAGAAGTAGAATACCCCCGCCTCCACGAAGCAGCAGAAGCAGGCGTCGTCCCCGCCTCCATCGAAATCAACACCTTCATCGACAAGATCCTCTCGCAGATATTCCACCATCCCCAGCCTAATCGCTCCATCATCCTCTCCTCCTTCACCCCCGAAGTCTGCATCCTCCTAGCCATCAAACAGCAAGTATACCCCGTCATGTTCATCACCAATGCAGGAAAGCCGCCCATGACAGACATGGAGATGCGAGCAGGCAGCATGAAAGCCGCCGTCCGGTTCGCTAAGCGATGGAACCTCGCGGGGATTGTCTTTGCGAGCGAGTCGCTCGTGCTTTGTCCGCGGCTTGTGAAGTATGTGAAGGGGAGGAGCCTGGTGTGTGGGTCTTATGGGGCGCAGAATAATTGCCCTGAGTATGCTAAGGTGGGTTTGGTGTCCGGAATCAGTGTCATGGTGTTTGTTCTAAAAGTGCCTGGCTAATGAGTTTTGTAGATGCAAGCTGCCGCTGGGGTTGATTTGATTATGACTGATCGGGTTGGGCTTATTTCTGCTGCACTGGGCTAGGTGGTGCTCTGCTTGAGCTTCCTACATTCGTTGTCGTCCAGCTCTGTACATACAATGGGCTCTAGGACCCAGATGGAGATACTTTACATTCACCTTAATACATATTCAACACAATTATCAACGGATGTCTTTTGATTGTCGGGTAGGTAGGTATCTTGTTGTGTATTCTTCTGGAAAGTAAGTGTCTACTTGAGAAGTACATTGGACCTTATCTTCATCCCAAACACGAGTCTGAAATCAAGCCAACGGAGCAGGCACCTGCTGCGTCACGCAGTGGATGACGCCTCCGCTCAGGGGAATCGCATTCAAATGAACTTGTCTCACTTCTCTCTCGGGCATCAACGCCTGCAGTGTCTCCTTCGCCCTCTGATCCCACCCCTCGGCCCCAAACTTGGGCAGGATCAGTCCCTCGTTACAGAAATAGAAATTGACGTATCCCGACACAAACTCGTCGTCTTTCGCACAGGGCAACGCGCTCATAGGCGGCTCGTCCACCGCATGTATCTCTAGCTTCCGCCCTTTCGCATCAGTCTGGCTCTGCAAGGCCTCGAGCACCTCGTTGGACAGATCCAGCCAGATCTGGTCCGAATCGGGATGGTGCCTTGACCAGACAACAACCCCCGGTCGTACGAACCGCACCTCAGCATCGAGGTGCGAATCCGTGACGTCGAGGTTCTTGCGCCCAGGTACCCAAATCACCTTTTCAACACCCAGCACGCGACGGAGCTCAGCCTCAATCTCGTCACGCGACAGTCCGGGATTCCGCTGCTCGCAGATCATACAGCTCTCCGCGACGATGAGCGTGCCTTCCCCATCGACCACCAGGGCGCCGCCCTCGGTGCGAATGCGCGACACAACCACCTGCACGGGGGACGGCGACACGTCGGCATCAATCACATTGCGGGCAAAATCGGCATTCTCCCGCAGGATCTCCGCCGTCATGGCGGGCGTTCCGTACCGATATTCGCCCACGGCTCCGGCCCATCCGTTTTTGTTGCCCCATTCGTTGAACCCGAAGTCGATGGCTAGCCGCTGTCTCGGGTCTAACTTGCCCGTCGCATCGTGCACGTATACCGGCCCGGTGTCACGCACCCAGCAGTGATTGATGGCCAGGGGCACGATGCTGACCCGTGAGGGATTGCGCACTTTGCGCTTCACTAGTGCTTGCGCGGCGGGGACATCCTCCGGGCGCGCGTGCAACCGCACCGGCTCGAAGTCTGCGATCGCTGCGGCTAGATCCACGATCTCGTTGCACAGAGGTTCGTAAAGAGCTTCGGTTGAAGACGGCCTTGATGGGAAGCCCAGAATGGTTGCTACATGTGGGTGCCATTCGGCAGGGAAGAAGAAACGGCCAGTTGTAAGGGGGTTCATTTTGGAACGAGTCAAGCAAGGCAGCGGGACAAAGCTGAGGCAAGCGGAGGACATGTCAATGGGGATGGATGAGGCTTTCCAGTGACGAGGGACGTCAAATACTTTATCTCATCCCGTTGTATTATACGTCTGGGCTACGACCATGCAATTCTCCACCAGAACACTGCATACAGAGGCCCCCCTTGCGTCGATGACGTTCAATCAATGCAAAGCAAGCGTCATTTTCAAATACTACATAGGGATCTGCCAGCACCGCACATGCATGACCTCCGGCCTGCTTATCCCTTTACAGATTCAGTCTATGGAAAAACCGAGTCGGTTTTGGAAATAACGAGTTACCTTCGCGCTTTAACTCGCGCCAGTTTGCTCGCCTCCAGTCTGCTCCTCCCCCCGGAGGCTTGTATGGCCGAGATAGAACACAGGCAAAATAGTCACCCCAGACAAGGCTCCCAACGTCCAGGCCATCGGCTTCCACCCGTACCTACTTAGCAGATTCTCCCCAATGATGGGCCCCACCGAGAGGCCGGCGTAATTAGCCATTGTCTGCAACGCAAATGCCTGCGAGACTGCCCCTTGTTTTCCAAAGATGCCCGGGCTTTGCTCCTCCATTTTTTCGACCACGATCTGTGACTCCATGTACAGGGCTGGCAGGGCCACGCAAATCGAGAGGCCGCATAATGCCAACAGCGCGGCTAGTAGGACCTTCTGCGACATACTGTCCTGAGTGACGAATTGCAGACATACCAGCGTCGGGGTATACAGTGTGAACCCCACTACTGCCATGATGCGGACTCCGAAACGGTCACATAGTCGTCCTGAGATTGCATTAGTGTTGAGGCCTCACACAGATATGAAGAATGTTCGATGCAGAAGCACCACTCAATCGTTCGGACTAACCAAACAAGGGTTCCAATAGTGATGGCGCGGCCATGGCCAGGAAGAGTAAACCGGCCGCAAAGGCATCCCATCCGAACAATCGCTCCACATAGGTAGGCAAAGTCTGCGGAGGTATGGTCAGCTCTAAGATGATAACATTGGGAAATCGAATGAGCCTGAACACACCGCATCACAAGCACCAAGAACCAGCCCATCAATGCCCAACGCCCAGAGCGTGATGATCACCCGTGGCTGCTTCAACAATTTCAACCCCGCAAATGACACCTTTTTGCCCTCCTGGGGCTCCGGTTCGGCATGTGTTTTGCTCACCGTGGTTGTGGATTTCCTGTCGTTTTCCTCAACCCCAGCAGCAACAACACCCTCCTGCATGTGGATGGCACTTTGTTCCCTGCCCTCCTCCCCTTCCTCCCCCCCCCTCCTCCTCCTTCTCCTTCTTCTTCTTCTTCTCCACCACTGCTAAGCGCATCACCGTGTCCACGGCCACAATCACAAACCCTAGTATACAGAGCGCATAATACCCCCCGGAGCGATTCACGAGTCCCCCAAGTGGCGGCCCTGCCATGAGCCCAACCATTCGGCCGGTCTCCGCGTACCCCAGTGCTTCTCCCAAGCGGTCCTTGCCCACATTGTCTCTCAGCAGCGCCAAACCTGCAACGTCCACGATCGCGGATGCCAGGCCTTGCAGAATCCTCCCAACAATGTACATCGTCGTCGACCGCGCGGCGGTAAAGAAGGCCATTGCGGCGGCAAGCCAAATCAAGCCCACCAGGTACGGGACTTTGCGATTAGCCGACGAGTCTATCCAGATCCCGAAGATCGGACAGACCGCGAAGGCCGTGGCTGTCTCACAGATCAAGAGGATGCTGGTCCAGAATACCTCTGTGGGGTAGAAATTTCAGTCAGCCTACCATGGCAGAGTTATGATCTCGAACTCGCGGGGACGGACGTTGATCTGGTGATACGCCTGCTCGCGCGACCAGCGCCGAGGGCATGATGGGAACAATCTGATACGGTTCAGCTATGAGAAAGATGCCCTTGACGTGGTGAGGAGGTGCAACATACCATCCCATATAGAAACAAGGTCTAAGGGGGTTTGCCCTTCTTGCGTTAGCTCCTCAACCTGATGAATGAGGAGAAAAGTCTCCCGGCATACCGTCATATACGAAGTTGCGACCACCACGATGATGAACCAGCGAGATGAGCGCATGGACGAGAGCCATGATGGCCCCAATGGTCTAAACTCTGAGAGCATCGTTGAACCAGGAATAATGCTGTGCTCACAATGTTTAGGTGGCAGAAACACAAGAAACAGGGACCACAGAGAGAGAGAGATGAAACTTCCCGTTCGGTCCTCTCCCACAAGTAATGGAAGATGTACAGATACAAATTCCAGCCCATACTCCATTTGAAAAAAAGGGTTTTCTGCAAGGCGCACTGCCATGATTTTTCCCTGGTCTTAGCTAGGCGTTAGAGGTCCCCTAGGCCCCTTGCATGGATATCACGCAGATTAGCCCGGAAATGTGACTCGCGTTATACAAATTGCGAGTCACAAGACGTCATATAAGCAAGAAGGAGGGCCTCTCTACTGCTCGGCCCATACTTTTTTAATGCCGCAGCGCTTGCTGTGGTGATGAGCGGGGTCCAGCTGAATCCATCACCGTCTGGGATGGCCCCAAGACACCGACAGATGTCACTCGGCGAATCGATAATACGAGTCTGGTTTCGGTGTAGCCATATCTGAGACGTCACTGGCAAAGCTTGTTTAATCCCTCGGAATTTTCTTTTTCTCGCCCGAGGTATGGTTTCTCATACGCAAGGTATATTGTGATATAAAATAAACTGGAAGAATACCTCCGTCCGTGGTAAGCAACGACTAATCTTATACAAACATAATCATGGACACCCTGATTGACCTGGCTCTTCATAAAAGACTCTCAAGTGTTGATAACAATGGACGATCTATCGCCGGCGAGGAGCCCTTTTTTGTAGCCGACCTCGGCCAGATCGTCCGCCAGCATCGCCGATGGAAGTCAGCCCTTCCTCACGTCCACCCTTTCTATGGTAAGCGTGATTCTTCCACACCGACTTCTGGTTACACCCCCTTCTGATCGGTGTCAGCGGTGAAATGCAATGCCGACCCAACCCTCCTCAGACTGCTCTGTGAACTGGGCACCGGGTTCGACTGCGCCTCCATCGCGGAACTCCAGAGCGTACTCAGCCTGGGCGTCGACCCGTCGCGCATTGTCTTTGCCAACCCTTGCAAGACGGCGTCGTCGCTTGTGTTTGCCCGGCGCGTGGGCGTCACGCACACGACATTTGACAACCTCGATGAGCTGGACACCATCAAGGCGTATCACCCTGATGCGCAACTTGTTCTCCGGATCTTCGCCAGTGACAGTGATGCGCTGATTGATTTTGGAGAGAAGTTTGGGGCCTCGACTGAGTCCGCCCCTTTACTGTTGGCTCGAGCGAGGGAACTGGACTTGAAGGTTACGGGCGTGAGTTTCCATGTTGGTATGTACCTACATCGCTTTAATTGAAAAAAAAAACACCCTAAACCAGAAAAGAATTGACTGTTAAACAGGAACCGGCGCAACCAATGCATCTGCCTTCAACAAAGCCATCCAGACCGCCAAAGCCGTCTTCCGCCAAGCCGAGAATCAGGGTTTTCGAATGACCCTCCTCGATATTGGCGGCGGATTTCAGGATAGCAACTTCGAGGGTATTGCATCCGCGGTGCATAAAACCCTCTGCGAGGAGTTTCCCCCCCACGTGCGAGTCATCGCCGAGCCAGGCCGCTATTACGCGCGCAGCGCTTACACACTCGCCTGCAAAGTCATCTCCCGACGGAGGCAGATTGGCGATGCCCGCAAAACGGAAGAACCGGATATGCTGTACCAGAATGACGGCGTGTATGGGTCCTTTATGAACGTGATTATGGAGAAGGAGATCATGAGGCCGACTCTGATCACTTCGCTTCTACCTCCCCGCTACCTATCTGGTGGGGAAACGGGAAAGAGACAGCAGGGGGAACGGAGATACTCGATCTGGGGTCCGACGTGTGATAGCTTGGACTGCGTGGTGAGAGACACGGTGCTGGAGTCGGAGGTGAAAGTGGGGGATTGGCTGAAGTATAGAAATATGGGTGGTAAGCAAGCATCTTTTATTTGAATTTTAGATGAATTTGAGGTTAATTGATTTGACAAAACAAGCATACACTACCTCAACAGCCACTCAGTTCAACGGATTCTCGAGCGATCATGCCGTGATCTACATTGACAGCGAGTCCGAAAACAGAGCCATGAAGACAGGCATTGCGAAGTATTGTAACATTCATCGGCAGGCCGAGATGATGAGGATTGCAGCACCTGTGGAACGAGGGCACTATCAGGCGAGTTGTTGACAGGTGAATAGGGTGTATGACTGGCTTTCAGATTAGGATGCAGCCCTTTCCACGCAGCTACAGCGTAGACGGCAATACACTGTGGGTCTTGGCCATGGACTGTTCTACTTGTAGAGAAAGGTAGATATACTTCAGATAGGGTGGTATCACCTGTCTACTAACATGGCTCTATTTGATTAAGTAAACCCATCTTCCATCTTCATTGATCGCTTGCGTATGAGCATCCTGGCAGCAAACCCCACCGCTACAACTGATAGTCTATAGACTACTTCGGGAGCAGTAAGTCCGGAATAAACAAGTATATTTTATGCGCGAAGCTTGCAAGCTAGACTAGATCAAGACTAAACGAGTGAACGGTCGCCAAAGCAAACCAATGAAACCAACATGGTCTCATGCATTTTCGGTATCATCCCCCACGCAGTAGGGGACGAAAAGATCCATTCCAGAATGGACGGATAGCCAGCGGGCCGCCTCTCTAGCGGCGCTTTAGATGGCCTGGACATCAACCCAGAAGCGAGTGTCGTCCTTCTGGTACTTCTCGTCGCTCTCAATCTGCTGCTGGATCCAATCGATCGCGGCGATGTAGTCTAACCCATCCGGTTAGCCGAGCCAGTCAATTTACTACCTCTGTTCATCGCGCAAACTCACTGTTGATATCGTCGGTGCCGGGGTTTTTGATTCCAGACTCGCCGTTGCGGTGGCCGCTGAACCACGTCTCGAAGCCGTACTTGTCCTCGCCCTCGTGACGACATTTGATGTCCAATTCCAGATCATCGCTGCATAATGCCCCGAACATCAACCACCACGCAGGCACATTTGGAGGTAGGACCAGTAAACTTACTTGAGAACGGCACCATCATCCACCTGCTTGACGGTCTCATCGAGGAATGCAGACGCAGAATGTCTCAGGATGTACCAGTTCTGCTTGAAGATGCCGAAGTTGGTGGCGTCGCCGGTCTTGCCGTCACCTGCAATCAGTAGAAACCCGGCCGTTAGCTCGCAGTTGCTGCGTGATCACCCGTGCCGCTGGCCAGGTCTGCAGACGTACCATAGGTGTAGTCGGTAGTCATGGTCGTACTGGGACGTGTTAGCGGTAGCGTATCACGGACGCGGGTGGAAAGAAGAGACTGACGTTTCCAGCATGGCGATGGCCAGGTCGCGGGTGTTGCCACCGGCGGACACGACCGCCTCCTTGCGAGCCCCAAGTCCGGCAATGGTCTCGTTGCCTCGATCCTCAGCGCGGATGAAGAGGCTGGCAGGGGCTGCGTGCGGGAACGAGGCCACCGCGGACACGAGGGCCAGGGAAGGAAGAAGAGACAGGAGCTGCATTTTGCAATGGGATGTAGTGTTTCTTTGTTGAATGGGATGTTGATTGAATTGTTGGATGCCAGACAGATATGAAGACATCAGCTCCTATTTATAATGGAAAGTTGGGATGAGCTTCTATACGATGTACTTAGTAGACCTGATCATCCCGTGTCTCTGGTTGTGTGGTACACGGAAAGGATATCCTCTTTTCCAGTCCGTGTGGAATTCGGAAAGGCGTCGTGATACAAACCCTCCCCATAGATTTTGAGACAATGACCGGCAGTGATGTTCCATCTGGGGAAAAGAGTCACGGTCCGCCTTGGTCCTTGCTGGTTCCGTCTAGCTATTTCCTTGATCGAGACAAGTGCCTCTTAGGTCGCAACAGCTTCAAGATCGTCACCGATATGAAGCCAACGCCACAAGTTTAGCAGTCTACACGATTGGTAGCCCAAGATTGGCTAAGATTCATTCAGTTGCTTACTAGCGTCTTGAAACCGACATGGAAACTGGCGCATCAGGTCGGGAGGCACTATACTCACATGTCATCACCAGTTGAGATCTCATACTAGATGAGAATGCGTACATGATCAATTGGTGAAGCAATGACTTAGGACCCCTGTCCCCAACGTGGAGTGCTTCAGACTTGTTTCGAACACCCCGTCTCCTCCGGGCTCAAATAGGCAATCGGACAGAACCACGGGGGTGGGTCCGTGGCTATCACTGTCGATCAATGTCGTAGGAGGTTAGAACGACATCCAGTCCGCCTCGCTCCAGTGATGTACTCCGCAGCTTCCCCAGACCGGTAAAACGTACGCTACCTTTGATGTTGTCCCCGCGGATGTGTCCGACTACTTTTTCCCGTTTTCAATTGATCCCTCACCAAAATGGGATGAATATCCCCGCATCTTCCTATTGCAGAGACTGTCTACCTAGTCTGACAGGGATCGGATCATGCCTAGCTGCTTGAAGTTGATAGCGGGGTTGATGGTGGTCTGTCCATCAGGGTCGGCAACAGGGCGTGATTTGAAGAATCATGCACGGTAATCCCACCGGTGGCGCCGTTACCAAGGTGCCTTCCCCTTTCTTAGAAGGCGAGTGGTCCAGTTAGAATCGACCTGCAGTTTTTTTGGCCTTGATACGAGGTGTCGATGGGGGAAAATGGCGTGAGTGTTACGAGTGAGTGTGTGCTCTCCCTGTCGGGGAACGATCATTTGGGAGCGGATGTGTGATTGTTAAGGAGCTGAAGCCTACTCCGTCGACAGTTGAGTAGCGCCCTGCCTTACTGGAGGTCAATAGACAGTTTACTGGGGAGAAAGAGTGGTAATCTTGGGGTCATAAGCGTACCCAAGAACAGGAGGACTGCGCTCACTCACTTGCTGAACCATATTCTATCTATCTTCAAGAGACTCATTGAGGATGGCCCTGGCCTTAGCCTTTACTGTTTCTATGGCATTGATCGGGTCCATGGGATAGCCTTGTGGATGGTATATATATTAGGAGGCGAATATACTGGCCCAGATTGACACGAGGGCGAACAGGCAGAGGCACGATGTTCATGATCAACGATCAGTAAACATGCCTGACTCGAACCTTAACATATTTTCAAGTCATTATTCAAAATGAACCCAAGGGTGCGAGATCAGTTTCCATTGTTCTAGCCTGATGCTGTCGTTTCAACTTTCAAGCCTGCCGGCGTACCCAAGCTTGAGATATCATATGTGGCGGCAAAATCACCAAAAACTCTAGGTGAAATTTGACAACATGAGTAAAATCTTTTGATAGCTCCAGAATACTTGACCGGTCAATGTATATAGTCCGTACAGAATCTGGAGAAGTGACGATGCTATCCATATCAGGTGACGTGATGTGATAAGTCTGACTAAGCGGCGCAATGGATCGATTTGTTTTGTAGACAATTCGGTCAATCATGATAGG